AAATTGTGCTATAAGAATCACAGTTAGGGTTTAAGCAATCAGAAAAAACTGTAATTGATTTGATTATTTCGAACTGTCCGTTGTAATGAATCGATTCTAAAACCGATTCTATGATTCACTTTTTTTTTCGTCTTTTTTTTGCGCCTGACCATATGACTCAATGAATCATGGGATCCGATAATAAATCTGTCTCAAGGTTACGTTGTTTTACTGAAAGATAGCGCTGGTGTTCAACAAAAATGTTCAGCTTGACTATTCACAATAAAAAAAAAACAATATATAAAAAGCAGAAAGGGTGTCGATGCTGAATAAACTCGCGTGTATATATAGTTCTTATTTTCTTTACTTAAGCCAAATTCATGTGCATGAGTATCAAGGACTACATCACAGTTAACAACTGCAATATTACCAATGCAATCACGCATACACATACAATGAGCATGATTGTGGTAGTGCTCTCTCCCCCCGTCACATATATGTGTATCAACATTAAATAACATTAGAGAATTATTTAATAATATTCTTAGTAGCAGCAGCGGTAGTCTTGGAGTACTGAATACATTATCTAAAGGGCCATGCGAGTTGCACTTTATAAAAAAACATTTAGTGTCTTTCATTACATTGATTCAGCTGCTACAAAATTATTTTTTTGTACTCTTAATGTAGCATAAATTTATTTTTTTATGTGAGTTGCTGGTCGTATTTAAATGCTATTTTTAGTGCTTGGAAGTTATATTAAAGTAAAGAATATCCTTCAATTGGCACAATGGTTTATTACCTTGCATGGTTTTCTATGCTACCAGGAATATGCTCCAGGCTCCTCCTCAAACCACTATTGGAAATGTAGCTGGAAAATGAATGGATGTCATTCCTGGATGGATGCTTTAATTACTTGTCTATACTTATTTAATTGTATTGTGTGTCTTTTTAATTATGTGTGTCCTTATTAAATGGAAATCAGAGATGGTAAACAGGGGAATAATATTAATAAGATTAATAGCAGCGGTATAAAGTATACTGATTAATCATGATTACCATTAAGCAGTTCTAGAGATAGACAAAATATGTCAGTGTAAAAGTTATTGGTTTGGAAAAAACATGTCATTGTATTCAACTTGAGTTTGGTTGTGTAAGTGCATTATGTACCTCTTCTGTTCAACTAGGTATATTCTCACCTATAGCTTTGGCCTGTATCTGCCTTTGATTCTTGAACTAGGTCTGTTCACCCATGGTAACACACTTATGGAGTTTTCAAGTAACTTATTGATGACTGTTGTTTATTTTGCAGACCCTTGCAATACTGTGATTCCGCCATGCATAGGCGACGCAGACAGGTTCAGTCTGGAGGCACTACGGCACATTCACAAACAGCTGGATGATGACAATGATGGGGGCATCGAGGTCAATGAGAGTGTTGAGGTAAGCTCAAATGAGATTTTGCCAAGGTGAAAACCCCCAAGATTTCTCAGCCAAGGTCTGTATTAAATGGGAAATATGTATATGTATTAGATGTTTTCCACTGGTTCTTGAACATGTCATTCAGCTACACCTTCTACACCATAACTCTTCAGGGATGCTATGCTGGTATAATTTATAAAATGTTCAAAGATCTGAAGCTGAAGAATTGGGGTTGGATCCCTGGTGCCGTCACCTCCAGATTCACATTTGTCTCAGGACTTTAAGGAAGAGAAAAGCAAAATTTAGGTGAGGATTTATCTTACTAGTGAGCTATGGAGTTTGGCCCTGTTGTTCTATATGTTCATAAACATTTCCAAGTATTTGAAAATTTATTGTTAGTAATGAAAAGAATTTCAGGTCAAACAGGCCAAGAAACAATCTTATGTCTTGGAAAAACATTTCAAATGACCTTCAAAGGATCATTGGTTGCTAAGATGCCCCTGCTGGGTTTTTAATATAAGCATTCATGACTGTGCTCTTTCTTTCATAACCATGACTATGCTCAGACTTCGATAACGTGCGGGCATCGCATGAAAATGAGCAATTCTCTGGAACGAAACTAGCGAAACCACTTTGCATTATGCTGGTGGAAAATAGGGCCCTNACATTTCAAATGACCTTCAAAGGATCATTGGTTGCTAAGATGCCCCTGCTGGGTTTTTAATATAAGCATTCATGACTGTGCTCTTTCTTTCATAAACATTTCTTAATTGCTATTTCGATAACGTGCGGGCATCGCATGAAAATGAGCAATTCTCTGGAACGAAACTAGCGAAACCACTTTGCATTATGCTGGTGGAAAATAGGGCCCTTGATCTTAGAAACACAGTAATTCTAAAAGTATTGCGTGAATCTTTTCAAATTCTAGGAATAACATATTTGGAGTGGTCAAATTTTGAGACATACTACCCCAAAACTGAAGCAGTGCTGCATAGGGTAGTTTCAGACATTTGAGCCATTTGATAACTCAAGTATTTTACAAATCTTTGTCAACCTTTGCAGACAGGCTGCAAGGGTGAAGATCTGGACCTAATCAAATTTTGAGACAAATCACACCAAACCTGAAGCAGTGCCACTTAGTGATAGCAAAGAGAAGGCCAGCTCAGACACTTGATATGGTCATCATGATAACTCAAAAATTATTTGGATATTCTTTTTCAAATCTTACAGATACAATGTATGCGTGAAGATGGACCTGTTCAAATTTCGTGTCAAATCGCTCAAAAATTGAAGAAACAATGCTTAGTGACATCAAAGGCCCTGTTCACACCTGGCATTAACATGTGTCTCCGCATGCCTCTCGACTGACCGCTTATAATTAGATTTCTGACTGTGAGTTCAAGCCCCCGGACAGCCCAATATGAAATTATATAAACAATTACACTACTATTATATGTTTCTGTTAGCATATCTATTATTTAGGCCATTGAACGCACATTCTTACCTACACGCTTTAATTTTGCGTTCATGTAATTTTTAAGGTCACGTTTCACCAATACAGTGGTACCATGGAACTCGAACTTAATCCGTTCAGAACTCAGGTTCGAATCCTAAACAGTTTGAGATTGAATTTTCCCCATAAGCAATAATTGAAAAGTAATTAATTGGTTCCCG